TCACCTGGTTGGCTTTTAATGTTTTTCTCACCCTGGAGAGCACTTGTAATTTGTTTTTACTTACTTATGCAAGAAAAATTTCCAGTAAAGATCAACTTTCAAAGCTTTACGGTTGTTTCTCATCAAGATCTAAATCACAAAATTAACTCTTTCTCCTAAACTAAGCTATATCGTAGAACATACATGGGGGTGATTTAATTACACCTTGATGTAAGGAATCCAATTTTAGCTTTGAACGTCAACTCCCTAGCCACCTTGTATAAATTACTCGCATAGTAATTAGTAGGTATATCGGAAGAGTAGGTACTTCATATTTTTAATTATTATGACCTAATTTCTGAAAAGGAACCTCTAATAATAGCGCCTTAGCAAATAATGTATTTGTAACACCGTTCCGAAGTCTTAAACCATAATCACCGCAAAATCTTGAAGGTTTTTTAATGTCTACCGTCAATAATATTTCGGGCAAAGCGAAAGGGGTCCCGTAATTGGTGTGTCGTGCGCGGGCGCAGGCGTCGTGTGTCGGGTCAGTTCGTTATTCCACATTAATTGCGTGGAACGGAACACATTCGACACCAGCCCGCGAGCTTGGACACGAAATCCTTGGAAAATAAAATGACTTCATTTCCCATTTTTTTGCAACCTCTTTGGTATTTTGTTACAGCGTGTTTGACCTGGGATTTAAGCAGAAAATTCTGTAACTAAATGTTTACCGACTGTTTTCAATGTTTTATTGTTTGTTGAGTGTAAAAGTTTTGGTTCAAATATGTTATTATTGAATTTGTTTTACCCACGTTTTACACGTTGCAGTTATGTGCCCACTCTATACGGGTTTATAAAGATCGGCTTCGGTGGCCTGCACCTCTCTGCACCTGGGAAGACCTTATTTCCAACAATTATATGACATGACGTAGTGATGATAAAAATGATGAATGTTATTAATGTCATACTCACCTAAATTGAAAGAAGATTATATTTTCTGTACATAATTAAAATAATTAAAGATTTCATGGTTTTCCTTTCATTTGATTCATCAAGTTTGTTAGAGAGATTTCATCCTTAACAACATTTTTGTTGATTCGATTCCTGGGTATGGCAAGCAAATTTTTGGAAATCTTTGAATGCAGGTCTATTTCTTTTCAGAAATAAAGGAATGTTTTCTTTGAGAATTTTTTTCTATCTACAATATTAAGAGTACTTTCCCTCCAGGTGGCATTACAAAATTCCTCCCTGTATATATAAATAAAAATATCTAATATTTAAAAGTTACATGATATTATTTCTATATACATATCGCACCTTCGGTAGAACAAGGGCACGATTGTCAAAAATTGCAAAAATGAGTTAAGTATGCAGAAATACTTTAAAAATGTGTAGCTAATAATTAATAGCTCTCCTGTAAAATTGCAAAAAGTGCAATTGTGCCCTTGTTCTACCGAAGGTGCGATATGTATATGTAAATAGAATTTAAAATTCTTATAACTGAGAAATATATCTTTGTGTAAAAGATAAATATTTCACTGTATTTAGAAGTAAATAATGTTTATTATACTGCTACTGCTAAATGTGCTTTCCTGCGATTTTTTTATTATTTTATACTATTATTACAATGAACGTTCTGCATTGGAAAGTTCATATTATTTAAATTTTATTACTTATTTATAAATATTATTGGAAAGTTTATCAATACTTACTTTCTCTGAAGGTTGATTATAGACAATAGCACATCATTTACCTATAACATGATCCATTAACAAGTATGACATAGCAAAAACTGATAAAACTATGAGAACTGAATCAGAAAAGTTAGTTTCACCCGTTATTGTAAAGTAACAGAAATAATATAAAAAGTATGACTTACTGACTGCTTAAATCACACAAGATTAACCACAAATATAAAATGTAATTATTATTCTTGAATTAAGTGCAGATTTAGTATTAACTTAAGCCTAAACTGCTTAGTGTCTAAACTGGGGACCTGAAAATAAATTTCAGTAAGAACGTACCTAATAAATGTGTGGTAGAGATGTATGTGTAAAGTTTTGATTTGATTGTCATTATCAGTAGTAGGTACGTTTCAATTTCTTAAATATTAGTTTTTTTCTTTTGATTTTTTACAAGACATGTTTTGTTAAAACTAATAACAATGCAAGGACATTATGTTTTCAGTATTTAAAACACACAAAAAATATAAGATACTTTAAATACTCGCAAAATTTTACTTGTTATCAGTTTAGGAATAAGAATATTAGAATTAACCAATTAGAAACAATATAATATCACTGGTTGATTAAAAAGTGGTACGAGACAATTAACTAATAAGACCTTTTATGGCTGAGTTGAACCATCAATTTACTTTAAAAAACGTCAAAAATCTGTCAAACTCGAAACAAAAAGCACCGGTTATTTATGGTTAAACAAACTTACCTTAAGTGAAGTTTGACCGTAATTATACGAGTCGCTGCATCCGAAGAGATTTTCATATTTACCAGGTAGTCCACTTCTCATTGTACTAGGCATCGAACATTTTAGAGCATACATTACAAAAAAGTACTTGTTATGACTCGATATCCGGCGGTAGTGGGGCACGCTAACGTCACACCCNATTCCCCAACAGGTAGCCATTATTATCCTCCAAATGTCGCGTCGCTCTAGACGACGTAATGACTGTGTATTTTATCGAAATGTTTACTTTTATGGTCATTTCACATTTAAACACACACGAAGCACACACTTTTTCCAATTTAATTTAATTTAATTTTTGCGGCACGAACGAGAAATTTCGATGTTACGATGCCCGCACTATCGAAGCGAATGACGACTCGACGGTTGGAGGGGTGTGACGTTAGCGTGCCCCACTACCGCCGGATATCGAGTCATAACAAGTACTTTTTTGTATTGTATGCTCTAAAATGTTCGATGCCTAGTACAATGAGAAGTGGACTACCTGGTAAATATGAAAATCTCGAGGATGCAGCGACGAAGTATAATCGATATTATTACGGTTAAACTTAGGTGGTGCAACTAATAATGTAGCTATATCTAAAAAAAATTGTAGACCACGCAGGCCATATTTTTATTTAATTGAAGTAGTTAAAGCGTTTTTGAGAATGCTCGTTGATGAAGAAAAGAAGTACTTGATTTGGACAATTTGGACATCCTGGTGTCCAAGCTAATCTTTTCATAAAGTGCTCAGGACCAAAATTGATTGAGTTTTTTCTGGTCAATATGTCATAATGTTATCAATATGTGGCGTGGTCAATGGACACGCTTCATTTAATTAAGAAGAAATTATTTCATTAATCTGATAAATCTTATCAGTTCAGAGAATGATTTAGTGGAACGACTCTTACTATAATACTAACACGTTTTTGTAAACGCACTACTTATTTTGAGATTACGAAATCTTAGCCTTACGTATCCGTAATACATGTAAGATGAATATGTATGAAACATCTCTACCACTTCCTTTACCTAAAGGTGAGCTATTCATGAACTCTACAAAGAACCCTATTACGTTTATTAAAGTAGGTAGAGAATACCTCAAGTTACTGCGAATAATTTTACAGTGTTGACTCTACACTAAAGTAAAAATAAATTAAGGTAGGTAAATTAGCTATTGAAAACTATAACTCTTTAATTCTGTTGATTCACAATATTTTAAGTCACTATATCATGTAACTACCGGATTTCTTTTTAGTGTAACGAAAGAAACATACAACTACTTACAGATTTTACTCGTGTTTTCAGCTATTTTTAAATGAAAAATACTTTTTTTGACAGTTCAAATATGTTTTACTATAAGAACCTTAGTAAAATGTAGAGTATTGCCATCACTGTATCATTTATCATCATCAACATCATCAGTTTATTTAATCTCCACTGCTGCGGAGTACGACCCACTCTAGTTTACCAGAAGCAAAAAGGAGAATTTTTCTTACACTCTTCAGCCTGAGCAGATAGATGGGTTGGGGCCTGATGTTTGCATATTTCCCCTTATTCACCTTTTGAGACATCCACGGGAAGAGTGTGGTAGGTTCTATTCTACTCTGCCAGAACCATACGGCTAACGTCACTGCATCGTTTTTTCAGCCAAATTAATGTTATCCAATACTATAAGGACAAAGGCCTTCCCCACGGATTACCATAACAACCGGTCCTGCGTTGGCTGCATCCAGTGTGCTTACCATGAGTTTACGTTAGGTGTGCTCGCTAGCGACTGCGTAAAAAAATGACATTGATTGTATGTCATATTGTGCAGCGCCCCTAGCGGCTACTTTCAAGAAACAAAATCTTCATAGAGATTTTTGACGTATTCGCTAGCGAGCACACCTAACGTAAACTCATGGTAGGTACACTGGTGTTTCCCGCGGCCTTCATCAGTGTGCCTACCATGAGTTTACGTTATGTGAGCTCGCTAGCGAATACGTCAAAAAATTCTATGAAGATTTTATTTCTTGAAAGTAGCCGCTAGCGGCGCTGCACAATATGTCATACATTTAAATGTCATTTTTTTACGCAGTCGCTAGCGAGCACACCTAACGTAAACTCATGGTAGGCACACTGATCGTCGATCTTCACTCTCACACTCACGTCACTAAATAAATAAATGGTTTTTATCACTGACCTGGTATTATTACACACTGGACTAACTGCTGTCATAATATTTTTGTGCTTAATTTGAGTTTCGCCATTTTGGTGCTGTAGGCCATACTGTAGGCAGATACGATTGTCCATGGAAAGTTACTCCATACAAAGTCGTCAAAATTAGTTCTCCGGACAATCGTAGTGATGCTTCAAATTGCCACACAAAATTAGCTGTCATTTGTATGGCGACAGCCTGTTCAGTGTGTAATAATACAGGTCATCTTGACTGCCATTAAAAAAAAAACACTTTATTGGCAGTCAAGATGTAGCGTAGATCCTGGCTGAACAGGAGTTGCAGCGGTGGGAATAGTCCCGTGCATAAAGAAGTGAAACTAATATAGATTTTTCTTCAGGTTCGGTGTCGAGACAGAGTTCACCGGCGTCGCTCAGTTCCCCCGCGTCCAGCTGCCGGTCTCCGGGGCCGGACGAGGATGTTGAGGTTGACGTAGAACAGTGCTCGGACGGCGAGAGAGACGCCTCCGATCACGCCATACCTTCGCCCGCTCCCTCATCTGGTAAGTAAGCTTTAAATTAACTTAGTTACTATGCTGAGTAGACAGTCATCATCAGCATCATCTTCATCAGGTCAGGAAGTAGACCTACTTTATACAAGAGGCAAAAAAGGAGGGTTTGGCCTTCATTCTTGGCCAGACTAGTTGGAGAGGTCTGATGTTCGCATATTTCTTGTCACCTCTCTCTCTGTCGACATTCACAAAAAGAGTGGAGTTGATCTCATTCTAGTCTGCCGAACCTATACGGCTTAGTAGACCTCCACCTTTATACAGGCTCCATACAGCTACAGCTATGCTTATATAGCTATATGCTTTTTTAGATCCTATGGTGTGCGTACTGTGAAGTAGACAGCCATCACGAATACCGTTACTTTTTTAGACAAATTGTTTTTGCCCACACCAGTTCATATAATAATTAGACAGCGGTTTGGCTACCGTTTAATTTCGGTGTAAGGAACCGTGTAGAGCATTCATGAGATAAAGATTCGAAACTATTTTATGCTTGAGATGAGAGACAGGCATAGATGTGATCTTAAATCGAGCGAGCTTGCTCAAAAGGTGCCTTTAAACCTGTTTAAGATCTTTCGGTTCGGTGAGTTCCGGCATACAAAGGCTAAAAAGCAGAATAGGAATTTACGCTATTTTATTTCAAAATCATAGCTGTGGATACTGCTGGACTAGTCAGTCCGGCTAATTTGGGAAATCGCAGGACAGATGCAACTGCGACGCTATTAATTTTCTTTACTGTAACTAAAACTTTGAAGGTCACCTGATCTGATGGTTTGCACACCAGACTATACCGCCATTTGCGGCTGCGCCTTCGAATCTCGCCGGGGGCAAATGTTAGCGTTAGTACCCGGAGACATGTGCATTTATGTATAATTATGAATGAATATTCATATGTATCTATTTAAGTATATTTATCCGTTATCTGGACGCCATAGTACAAGCGTTTGAGGCTAGATAATTGGTGTGAAGGTTGGAATAATTCATTATTATTATTAACTTTACTGAATACGTGCCTCTATAAATGTTAAATATGGTATAATCTCTAAACAAGGCTTCACTTTAAACTTTCAAATGTACCCCTATAAATAGCGACCAAACCATACATTAAGTAAATGTCGTGGATTTAGTAACTGCTCGCGGCCACTTTGACTGGGTTCTGTGTTTATTAACCCTTCAGTAGACGGATTGACAGTAATTGAGAATCCAGTTGCTGTCAGAAAATAGAGCAATAAGTAGTTGGATGGAGTCAATATGCCTGTTGGGGACGAATCTTGACGATGGTGCATTCTCGTGTTAATCTTCAGGCATGTTATTATTAGTAAATGATCCATTAGTTCATTTGAACCCAGCTGTCACCCCTCTCAATCAACAGGAGACTTCAAAACGGATGTTGACTAATACCTATTACTCGTAATGTCACTTTAACCGTAAAATTACTTCGTCACTTGTTTTCGTATTGAATATTCTTGTAACAGTTCCTCATTTACTCTATGAATATATTTTACATTATGGGATACAACTTGAGAGCTTTACTTGGCGCCATGAAACCTAACAGTGGGAATTTTAAAATAATTATGGATGAAAACAATTTGGTTGGAATTGTAAATGCAGATCCGTAATTCCACGTTGCTCTACAATACAATTAATTTATATCGTTCATCAAAAATATTCCTTTCATATCGTTAATTTTATCTCATTCTAATTAAAGTCTAGTATTACACTGATTAAAAAACAAATTAAGTGCGCATATTTAAATTCTTTTCACACATACCGCACTATCGTATTCATTCTTTGTGACGCAAAAAGTAAATGAACTCGTGTTTATACGGACTATTATCGATGTAATAAACAGGCTTTCTCAGACAAATACAATTCGGTTCTCACAGTCTGATCGACTGAGTGCGGAGAATGATGATATCGTCAACGATGCCGGCTATAAAGGCAGACAGTGCAAAACGAGCGCGCTCTCTTCGCCGCGCCGCACACTAGGCTACAGGTGGCGGCGACTAATCGTCGGAGTTGATAAGTTGCGCTTCGAGACGCGAGACACGACACGAGCAAGCCGTAAGCCGTAAGAGGCGATCACAAGTGCACTCGATTAAACTGAGCTTGAATGTGAGGACGTGATCATAAGAAGGTCGACTCTACCAAAAGTTGTTAAAACGATCCTATATTCATTTACCTCTCGAGGCACAGTAATAGTTCTTAAATATAACAGGGAAATTTCAGCTGAATATTAAAAAATCTAATATGCACTGATAACTAATTATAAGGGAAATAACGTGCACAACTGGCAACCACAGGTGGCCCACATAGTGTGCGCCAGAGCTTATTGTGCATTGTTTCTCGATGACTGCTAATTCCTGAGATTACAATTATGACAGGTCTAGAATCTCATGTTAATAACAAAACTTGAGTATGTTATCTCGTCAGACGTAAACGTACACTTAAATCAAACGGTTCGAGATCACCCCGATAAGATAAATGAGTAAAAGCGTAATGAAGTTGTGAGAAAATGCAAGTGTAGGCCGAATGGATTAGAGCTCCGATAGACGTCGACAGGTGAGTGCTGCCGAAAAAAAGTTAATGGTGCAGTAGCGAGTCGTGAAAGCAAAAAATATCGGGAGCGATTGGTCATTTCCGATGCGGTATGAGAATGTATTAATGCAATCAGTTTGTGGGTACTTGAACCCGTAATTAAGTTCAAATAATATTCATTACTTAGCTTTGATTACGAGTAGGTACTATAATAAATAATTTACCGAATGTGACTGAATTTTAATCCAAAATAGCAGCTGGTCAATCATAAATGACCGTTGCTAAAATCGAAAGTTTGATATTTTGGATGGCTTTTTACCCGACTGCGCCAGGAGGGTCAAGATTTTAATATTATTTGTTTGTTTTTCATTAGTCCATCACGTATATTTCTTATTTCCATTGTATGAACGAACTATCTCTAAAAAATCATGTGCAAAAAAATAGATTAAGTAGATAGATATGTTTTTCTGATATAATCTGCTCTATAAATTTTGCAGCTAATTTTCTACTACTAATTTCACTCTTAAGTCGGGCTAGGATGCGCGCCGTGATTACGTACCTCATTGTCGTCAAAATGTATGGGCGAAATCGATAAAATGGCGTGATAAACGCTTATCGCAGCGCACATCCTAGGGTAACGTTAAACTTTCTGACACAATCGTCCCATTGACAGAGTTAGGCGAGCGGGACACCCCGTCCCCCGCGCGGCCGCTGCCCCCCGCCACCTCCTGCAACTGCGAGGAGCTGCTCTCGGTGGACTGCCAGCTCGAGACCAAGGAGCTCTGGGACAAGTTCCACGACCTGGGCACCGAGATGATCATCACGAAGACTGGGAGGTCAGTCTCTTTTGTTTTTCTTTTTTTTTGAGCTTATGAAAGCTGCCAGTGACCAGTGCCAATCACACTAAATACCTACGTAGTTACTTTTGTTTTTACTTCTTTTAAGTGAAAACTGCCAGCGTTGTAATTGCAATAAATATGACACCTTTGTTTTTCTTTTTTGTATGGAAACTGTCAGAGTAGGTTCAGAGTCATCTTTGTTTTTTTTGGTTTGTGAAAACTGCCAGTGTTAATGATCTCTCTCTCTCTAAATAAAATTAAAAGTGATCTTTGATTTTCTTTTTTTAACGATTTGAAAACTGCCAGAGTTAGGCTCAGACTAAATGGACCTAACGGACGATTTTTTATGGCAGGTTGGATTGGTAGTTTATTAATAGGACTGAAATAGCTTCTTGTGGTTATGGATTCGAATACTGCGAGGGTCAAATGTTACTGTGATGAGCATAAGCGAGGAGTCATGAAATATTATAGTTTATAAGAATGTAAGTAGTGTGAATTTTCGTTATTTGGTCACCAAAGTACACGCTCTACCTATCAGCTAGATCATTTTGATTATTACAGGCCCTCTTACATATTTTTTGTCTGGATTCAATCGGTCCCTTCAATTTTCAAAGATTCAAAGGAGCCGAATTCGTGTAGTTCCAGCCTTAGGCGATATGTTTGGCTGGTAGGTAAAAAGGTATAATATCGAAATTGGAATTTAATTTCATACATTAATTGATTCGCTTTTCGGTTTGTATCAAGATATACCTTTAGTACATTTCCTTTATATGGCTTTGAGTATAAAGAAATTTGCATAAATTCATCCGAATTAACAGCCATCGATAAATAATTAATATGAATGTGTCCAGCTTCGGTGTCATTTTGGCTCACCATAGCATATAGCTATATGTATAGCCTTAAATATGAAGTCGGTTGATAATTCACCAATGATTTTAATTTATGTTAAAATTATGTTTCGTGATTGAGATCTATTCAGGGCGGCGACATAATGCCCTCGGCCTTGTAAAGGCGCGCTACCTAGTGGTTACCACTCGACACCCGGGGCTACCTTACCCATCAACTAACTTATTTTATTGATCAACATTCCTAATTTCGGTAAAAGCCTCTTGCGATACTCAAAAAAAGAATTAAAGTATTCACCACCCGAAGATAAAGCAATCCCGAAATTAATAATTACTCGGCTCATCAACATAATGCAATCTTTCACTCTGCCGAAATCGGAGTCAGAAACAAATTAATTCACTGTACAATCGCCCTCGGAAAGGGTTGAACGGAATGGATTCATCAGGCAAAGTGGCCAATTCCGGAATAATTACTCTGCGAACCCAGCCGTCCTTCAACCCTTTAACGAGATAAATTAAAAGTACATTTTTTCCTAACCGTCCGCGTAATGCCACGCCATAAATTCACAGAGCCCCAAAGACAACAAGCAGGGGAGGGAAGATGTTTTTATAGTGAAGCCGGAGGTTTATCTAAATAATTGCGTAGACGGCGGCGCAGACCGGAAAATTGGTATCGTGTACCGGCTCCCCGCTCGGAACCCTGATCTTTGGCTGCCTGACACCGAGTAACTGCTCTCTGGGGTGCACACTCGCTCCGAGCACAATATTCAAATTCAAACTCAACCGCCTTTGAGCGACATCTTAAAAAACCAAAAAATCCGTCGTTTAACATTTCAACGTAGGTAGGTACATTTTTCAAATTTTATGATTCCAATATTTATGAACGCTTTATGGTCAACAATAACAGTTTTGTTTATGACCGTATTTTTATTCAATAATGGCAATATTTATTGCCTTACAGACGTTATAGTTCGCGATAAAATATTATGTTTTCATAGGGCTGTGAACATGTTTTAATGTCTTTTGTATGTAGGCGTTGAGGTGAAAATAATATTCGCTATTTTCGAAAAGCATAACGGCTGATACAAAATGCCCACTATTGTACTTACTTACACAAAATTACTTTCATATTCAACAAATGACATAATTTTCTAATAAAAAGCGATCTCATCATAATTTGACTGTCCCTCTTGTTGTTATGACAAATAAGCCATCGGAACAAGTGCATAGAATGAGTATAATCGGGGCATTAGGCTCGTGTCATACGTTATCTGCGGCGAGGGCGCGCCCCTCGCGTGCAGTTAGCCTAAATCACTGTGCTCTCCGGAGAGGATCGCTCCCGAGGGATGTGCTATTGTTCAATTGCGTGTATAGCGAACGTCTCATTTTGATACTAGGCATCTAAGAATAAAAATCATAATCGATAAAATTTTGAAAAAAGTTTATTAGGGATTTCCCATGAAAATAATGTGCACTGAAAAATAATACTCTATTTCGTTTCCTGCAATACTTAATAAACATAAAAAGTAAAATCTACATATTACCACTATTTAAAATTAGATAAACAATAAAGTGCCCGATGTGACACCGAATGCATTTACCATACTTTGTTACAAATAGTAAAAAAGTCTAATAGGAAAATCAATTTGCATAATTTACCATTTTATTGTCTCCAACAACTATAAAAGGTGTTCTAAATTACAATAAAAAGTATCAAACGCGTGTAATCTTCACATTCACATCTAAACAAGAGATAAATCAACCCATCCAATCAAAATGGGATATCGGGGACAAATTTTATCAGGGGAGGGCGTCGGGACATGTTTTTAAATTGCTTTACAATGCCTTCTATTAATTTACTCGTGCGTGCATTTAACTTTAATAAGAGTTTAAAAATAAAACTGACAAAAATAACGTGAAAATTGACAATTTTACGCGTGCAAAACTAACAAAGGCGACCAATAGCAATAAAGTGCGTTACTGTGCTCATTTTTATGACAAACTTAATATGAAAACATAAAGTGGGCCCTTATCTCCGGACATCCCGTAATACGCTTTATCTTTTTTTATTGCGATGCACAATCCGTTCCTTTCCACGTTTTGGCTCAGTTGGCTCGCTCCCAACACTTGTCGTATTTTTATCGATAGTGGTCATATTTTTGTGATACCATCTAACTTGAAGATTATCCGCGTTGTGTTACAAATTAGCCTTACTTTGGTATTTTAATTTGATTATTTCAATATTTATAATTTATTGCTTATTTTATTTGAATTCAATATGGTGGGAGAAAATAAGCTTAAAAAAGCTTCCTTTTTAATAGCGTTATGGTATAAATATCAACTGTGCATTGCGGTTACAACAGGCGTGGTTGTGGTTCTGACGAATAGCTCTATTCTGCGTGCAACTTCAATGACAGGTTAGCAAAACCATGAGTCAGGCTTAAATTGCACTCATAATTTACGCTTGTCGTAACTGTTTCTTTAGCGGTATCAATTAATCACACACGAGTAACATTGAACTGTATCAATATAGGCATGCTGAGTGTTAGTTGATGTATTAATCTTAAGTAATGTTTAAAAAACACATAAACGACATTTCGTTACAATTGACGTATGTCGTGCACTATCGACGTTTAATATCTTGCACGTCACATCCCTATCGGTGCGCGGTTCGCGAGAAATGTCGGCTCGTCTCGATTTGTTTATTTTTTCTTCATTTTTTCGATTCGTCGTTTTGATTTACAATCGGCCACTTTACTGCCGAGTGGACTTTGTTAGAGGGAAGTAAGTGGTGGACGATTTATGTATGGCCGGACAGTCGGTGTGTTCAAAATATTTGTTAAGTCATAACGCGCCCTCTCCCGCCGATGATTAACAACGGGCACCGCAATACGTCAGTCTGCGGTCAGTCCATTGTCAGCGTAAACGAGCCAAGACAAAGTTGTGTTTTGAGCGCGTTCATCTAATCCTAACCATAAAAGATACCATTTGTACTTCGATATTTGGCAATACAAATTATTACAATACCTAGTTTAAAACTTGAAGGTCTTTGTGTTACGTCAAACGGTTTAGTTAGTATGTAGTACTAAATACACAATAGACTTTATTAATATTCATTGCTTTAAAACTGCTAGAATAAAAGATGTAATGCCTTGGATAAAAATACAATACAAGCTTATTTCCATATAGTCAACACGAGTTCAGTTTGTTTCCCGGTCAAATGTTAAGCTGCCAGTTTGCGTCAAATATCCCGATGACAGCTGAGCGACGTAAACAGTTGTTTTTCAATTGTTTTTGTTACATAAAAAGAGCGTTTGAGGGAAAAATTAAAATACAATGCAAAATAAAATGTTTTGATGTCAGTGTCAAGTTTTGCTTGGCGATGATAGCAAACCGTACGCTGGTGACTGGCTGAATAAGTAATTGATGAAACTCGAAATAAAATACACGAGTTAATCATAATTTCATGTTTACTTAGGCGTCCTTGTGTAGTAGCTGATCTTGTTAATAGTGAGCTAATCCATTCGACGCATTTATAGTTAGGCTGGGTTGCACCATCTTACTTTAACTTTGACAAACGTCAAAAACCTGTCAAACTTGATACAAAAACACCTCTTTAAAATAACAATAACTGAGAATTCCACATACATGCGTGTTAAATAAATACCTACATACTTTTGTAAATTTTCAAGTGTGTGAGTAAATCGATATTTTTCACGACAGAAATGTAGGTATTTTTTAATCCATTATTTATTCCATAGATAAATGGACAGTCAAATTATTATCCTGAATGTCAATACATCGCCCATCGCATTATTATGGATACCTAGTAACTTTATACCTTAAAAATCTATTAGTGTCAATTCTTGATTATAAGATTAGGTTCAATTCTCGCAAGTATACTTTAAAGATATTAAAATGATGATTCATTTAGTAAATATGCTCCTCTGAATACTATTCCCATTTGAAAGAGTGTTAACCTTTAGCACCTGGGCACCCTTTGATCACCTCCTACGGTCTTTTGTGCGCGCTCCAAAGGTGTTGACCGTTAAAAAAAGTACAAAACTTATGGCATTTAACAAACAATATTTAGTGGCGTTTTGACAGTTATTGTAGTCAATGATTATTGTCGATTATGGTGGTTATAATGCA